AAGATAATGTTGGCGATTAGTGGCTTCTTCCAACCTGCATTACAGTTAGACCAACACTGTACTGCACCTGTAGAGGCTGCCTGGTGGAGAAATGCAGCCATCCTGTCATCATGACGTCATCTGGTGTCATAATGACGTCACGTGGTGGCAGTTTGTTTGGAAAACATGTTTTAGCCTGCTATCTTCAATAAAAACTACATTATTTGTGATTCAGAATAGTAAATGAGGTAGTGAGCGCCACAGATGCTGATTTTAGACCCTCCTACTGGCTCCCAGGTAACTCGAGCCCTGTATATTGCGGCTGAATGTCGATAAAGGAAAAACAGCCGCAGTAGGCTAAACACAGGAGAAAAACTGATGACGTGCACACAGTGATAGTTCAGCACATTTCCGTCACACCGTTTAACCCATTTACTTTCACAGCACAAGGGTTCCACTTAGCAGCCGTTTCCATACATCCATGCAGAGAAAACACAACGGCACCAGACAACACAAATGCTCCACTGTAGATAAACAATGAGGTCAACAGAGAATTTCACTCCCGAGATCACCCAAACTCCCTGATCCCTCAAGACAAGTGAGGTGAACAGGTGACTGCGCCCTACACACCCACCACCCAAGTGCCAATACGAGTGAAGAGCATGGATAGGCAACAAACTCTGTGGCTCCTACCCTGAATAGTCACTACTTTCACTTTCCCCTCACTTAATCTGTTAAACTTGATCCAGTCTGCTTTTTACATAAACATCAGATTATTTGATTCCAGTAAATCAATAATCCAACAACATGTAAATTTCTCTTCAAACACATGAGTTCTCCAAACTTTCTAATGAAATAAGAAGTGAACAAATACTACAAACATTAGACAGCAAGAAACAAACCTTAAGGAGACTGAAGACAAACTTGTTGTTAAATTATCAAACAAAGCAACTTACAGTTTCCTCAAAGCGTCCAAAGTGTTGATGAAGCAGATTCTCACTCGATGGCAGCAGAGAAAAAAGCTTCAACACAGGTGAGCTGCTTCCTGGAATCACTCAGAGCTGCACCTGTAATGGCGGCAGGCAGGAGGGGCTGGAACAGGATCAGGTTACTTTCTTGTTTGATTGAAGTTAACAAACAGGTTTTAGGTGCTTGCTATATTTTATGACTCTACTTCTTCTCTTGTTCTTGTTGCTCCTTTTGCTTATTTATCTGCCAGCTGATCTCCATCCATGATGAGGACATCTGATGGTGCACCTCTTCGCAGGGAAGGGAAAAGAAGGGGAGAAGCCAACCAGACCAAGAGACGTCCAGCAGGGTGAAGATGCTTCCTAAGCTCTCTGCAGCTCTCTGGCCACCATGCTGGATATAGCTGTCACCAATGATCCACACTGCAACTATGGGAGGAAAATAAATGATGTAGTAAATTCTTCTATGTCACATCTAAAGGAGAAAACATAACAAGGCAGCAACACTTGAAAATATCTAGATAACAGTCTATATTTCCAATATAACATCAGCAGTCTAAAGTCTATTACTGTGTATGCTGTGTGACCATAAACTCAGTTTCCACAGTCACAAAAAACTAGTTTAGCTGGATATCATGTACTATGGCCCTCATTTATGAAAAGTGCGTACACCAAATTTCCAGCGTACACCCAAAACCACGGTGGCTTTGAGATTTATCAGTATGGATGTTTGCGTACGGCACGCTCAAATCCTACGCCAGCTCAGGAGGTGGTGTACATGTACACAAGTTTTGAGTTAGTGCGGAAATGCGCAGAAAAACAATTCCTAACACCACAAAATGCACTGACAAACTAAAAGATATGATATATTATGACCCACTGTAACAGAAACAACTTTTGAAACATTAATTTTGGTGTTTATATTTGAGCAACACGGACTTTATACAGCCTACATAATGTTTGAGCAGTCAAAACATGCTTTGATTTGTATTTGGACTATTTTATCGTAGCTTTAGGTGCCTTTTATTTGGGTTTGCTTTTAATAAAATGTCTACCTTCAAATGAAAAGGTTATGAGCAAAAAATGTAAGGTAAATAAATACTGCATACAAACAACGAAGAGCATAAGCTGATGGCTTGAAGCACTGAGACTGGCTGCCCAAATGGACACAGCCCCACACCTTTAGGTGAGGCTGGCACAGACATGTCGCGCACAAAGCCCTGCATTTATTATAAGACAAACTTTATATTATGACAGCAACAGCGAGCACCGACACCCCCGCTAAAGGCCCCGCGTCCCCGGACTCTGGTGCACGCTGATCCCGGTTCATGTGTGAGTCCTGGGTCAGTGCGTAAAGCCCAGTCCCGGAGGTGATGGAGCAGCTTTTTATCAGAGCAACATGCTTTCATTTGGAGCTTATTTGGGACTTAACTTTGATGGGCGTTTTAGCAGTGCTAAATCTATCTCTTGGAGCACCACAAGTAGGCAATTTATAATTCCAGGAACAGACAAAAACTTCTAGATTGCACGGAACGCGCTCCACAAACAGGTAAAATCTGTGTACATTATGTTAATATTTACTATACTTATACAGTATAGTCAACTAATACTATGATTCCTGTTAATATGCATTTATAGTAATAATAATAATAAAACAGCCCCAAGAGATTAATTTCATCATGTTTTGTGCGCGGTGTCTTCTGGGAAAAAACATATCTGGAAGTTCACTTGACCGTCCAGCTGTCACTCATCACCTACCGGAGCTTTCAACCATTCACATTTCTTCATTTATTCAGTCGTTAGCAACGAAACATCCTGTTTTTATTCTTCTCCTGATGTTTCAGAGAGTTAGAAGCTGGGGGTTATGGGACAGAAAACCAACACCGCTGAAATTTTACAAAATGTTGCAACGGAGTTTTTAAAAAATGTTGGAAAACTAATAAAAATAGAAAACAGTAGCCACACACATAACATGCAAGATTTATTGAAATGAAATAGCAGTGTGTAAATTCTCACGTGTCTCTTCAGAGCCGAGTTGCCGAATCGTTGACCAGTCAGAGCAGCTAAAGGATTTGGTTTTCCAACTGATAAATTAGCACATTTAAAGCATTGCACCTTTTTATTTTTACTTCTAATGTTTTACAAAACGTTTTACAAGGTATTCACATTATGAATCAACAGAAAAGTCATTAAAATACACTGTTAGAGTTTTAAAAACATTTTCTGATAATAAAAAAACATGTTTAAGCTGTGAGAATATTAAAACAAGTTTCCAGTAAAACATTAACTTGTTTTAAAAATCTTCTCCAAATGAATCTTTATCCTGAAACAAGACAGAAGAAGGTCGCAAACTTGATTTTAGAAAACAGACTGGAATGAGCTGGAAAGAGATGTTCTGCAGAGAAACCTGTTCGTTAATGAGGAGTTATCATCATCATCTACTTGTTTCTTCCAAATGACTTGATCACTAAAGGAATGTGTCCCAGAGCTGAAACGAGGCCGATGTTAACTGGAGAAAATGCTTTGTGAAGTTAATCTGAGGCTTCAGCAGTCTGAGTTAGACAAAGTGGGGTCTTCCAAACTTACAGTCTCTTTTCTACAAAACTCCCTTTTTATGATTCGACAGACCGGGTTTCCTTGCCGAGTCGGGGTTGAGGGATGTCGTCACCTGGGAAGTTGGTCACTGTAACAAACATCCACCAGTCCCGGGACAAAGATAACGAGTTGAAGAAAGATTACAGCAACTAACAACTCTCTAAACATACATACAGCATCTGAGAAAAAAAAAAAAAAGAGTTACAACAAACTGCTGACGTTGGAGAATGTATTACAAAAAGAGAATAACAGGAATCAGCTGGACAAGAGTTTCTCCCACCTAGTTCAGTATTTAACATCTGGCCAAGAGCAAAGGGAGGATGATGGACTCTTAAAATAGCTCTGGATGTCTATGTCTTGAGAAACAGAGATCATCTCCCTTAAATGGACATTCAAGGAGAGGCGAGGAACAATCAAACACACAATCAAACAACTCCTCAGCTCCAACTTAAACACTACACATGTGGACAGACTAGTATCATACTAGTACAATAAAAAGAAAAGGTATAAAAACAACAAGTAATAACAGAAGTTATTTCATACTGTACAGGCAGGAAAACTCTGAACCTCTGCTTTGAAGGCAACAGTCCAATTGTGTGAAATCAAAGTTTGTCTAAAGTCTTGTGATTTGACCGAAAAAACACACAGATACAGCATCTCACAAAAGTGAGAGCACCCCTCACATTTTTGTAAATATTTGATTCTATCTTTTCATGTGACGACACTGAAGAAATGAAACTTTGCTACAATGTAAAGTAATGAGCGTACAGCTTGTGTAACAGTGTAAATCTGCTGTCCCCTCAAAAAAAAAACAAAAAACAACAAATAAATCACATTACAAACTAACATCCTGCAGTTGTTTTGCTGCTCACTGCGCGCACCGTTGGCCAATCAACAGTTGCAGAGGTGAACTTAAACCTGCGTTCTCTGTAACGGACAGCAGGAGGCGACTCCACTGGTTGCAAAACAAAGTCCGGCTCCATTAGAAATAACGGTAAAATGTTTCTTCTTCTCAGCTGATTTATTCCCTCAGTAAACACTTTCCTGATGAGTTTATGGTCTCAGTCGCTAGTTTCAAGTCTTCTTCAACACAGCATGATGTTCATTTAGTAAATTATGGTCCCATTTAGAGGAACAGAGACCAGGAAGCAGGGGAGGCTTTAGGGCGGGGCTACAAGGTAATTGACAAGTCGCTACCATGGTGACCTTTCAATCAGGATAGAGGCGACTCGTGTCTGCTGCTGTGTAAAAATCTTTTATTAAATGGCTGTCAGCCGGAGAGAGCACGTCATGTTTGAGTCTGTTAGGATGTTTTGTTTTAAAAAGTAAATTGTTTTGTTAACATTTTCATTTTTTATAATTTTAACTGTGATTACATTTTAGTTTAGTTTTTTTATATCCAGGATATATATATATATATATATATATATATATATATATAATAAATGATTCAACATGTCAACAAAGTAACATAACTTAAAAGTTGGTTGTAACACTGATAAATAAATTTTGGAGGGAGGGACAGTAAGTTTCAAATCCACTGGCCCGGTGGGGCCAGTTGCAAAAAAGTTTAACGTTGATTTAACGTTGGTTTATCTAATTTACAGTTACTGGATAACTAAGAAAATTGAGAATCAGCATGTGTCACAGTTTTGAACTGATCAGTGTCTTGCCCTCAGTAGGAATCGGGTGAACAAGCTTCTCTAAAGCTTCATTTACTTCCACTGCTCTCACCAGCACACTTGTGGTTTCTGAAATAATAGCGCCTAGAGAATCTTTTATCACAAATGCTGCAACTGAAAGGTTTCTCTCCTGTGTGGGTCCTCATATGTGTGGACAAATTGCTTCTGTTACTGAATCTTGCTTTACAAACTGAGCAGCTGAAGGGTTTTTCTCCTGTGTGAACTCTTAGGTGTGAGGTCAAAGTTGAGCTTTGTGTGAATCTTCTGCCACAAACACAACAACTGAAAGGTTTCTCCCCCGTGTGGACAGTTGTGTGCCGTTTCAGGTCGTCCTTTCGTGCGAATCCTTTGCCACAGACAGAACAATTGTAGGGTTTTTCTCCTGTGTGGACAGTCGCGTGTCTATTCAGGTCTTCCTGTTGTGTGAATCCTGTTCCACAGACGGTACAACTGAAGTGTTTCTCCGCTGCGTGGAGAATCAAATGTTGTTTCAGATATGGCTTTAGTAAAAATGTTTTACCACAGACAGAACAACTAAATGGTTCCTCTCCTTTGTGGATGTTCATGTGTCTGGACAAACTGCTTTGAAAACTGAAAGTTCTTTTGCAAACTGAGCAGCTAAAACGTTTTGCTTCTGAATGAAGACTCATATGAGTCTTTAAGGAGTCCATCCAGAAGTATCTTTTACCACAGACAGAGCAACTAAATGGTTTCTCCCCAGTGTGGATCCTCTCGTGTATGGACAAATGACTTCTGGAAACAAAACTTGTTTTACAAACTGAGCAGTGGAAACATTTTTCTTTTGAATGGAGTCTCATATGAGTCCTGAAGGAGTCTTTCCCAAAGAATCTTTTATCACAAACTGAGCAACTGCGTGGTTTCTCTCCTGTTTGAGCTCCATTGTGTTCCTTTGGTCCAAAGCTTGTAGCACATTCTTCATTGTTTTGCATAGAGTTTGAACCTGACTGAGGTTCCCTGGCTTCCTCCCAATCACAACTCCCATCAGTCTCAGGTTCAGAGTCTGATGTCTCGTCATCGGTCGCTGGTTGTAAATGTCCATCTGGATCTGAGTTCCTGGCTGGTTCTGGTCCTCCACAGTCTTCTTCATTTGCTTTTGTTTCCATCTGTTCAGTGAGTCTTTGATGAAGCTGTGAGGACTGAGGTTTCTCTTCATCATCTTCTTCACTCTTCACAGGGACAGGAGTGAATGTGAACATGGTGATTTCTTCCTCCTCCAGCCCTTCAAGCTTTTCTCCCTCCTGACTGGTCCAGAGTTCCTCCTGTTCCTCTTTAATGTGTGGGGGATCTGGTGGGTCCTCCTGGTCCAGACTGGGGCTCCTCTCCTGCTGCTCAGAGGGAACGTCTTCTTTACTCAACGATGGCAGCCGGGCGTCTGCAGAGAATAATAAAATACATAGACATTTTAGAAAAATAACTTCCTGTTAACATTTAAAGGGGCATTATGTAGTTTCCAGCGGCCACTAGCGATGCGGTTCTAAGATTGCAAACAGGTGTGTGCTCGTACGTGTAGCATAATCTGAAACACAACCGCTTTCAGACAGAAATCCTGCAATAAACGCAGGAACATCTGCGTGCAGGCTGTAGCTTTTCACTCAGACATGTTCAGGCTCTGTTACTTCAAGGTTCCCTTCTCAGAGGCAGATCAACACCGGCGCCGTACCTTTCATTCAGCGCAGCGAGCCGCATATCGGCACAATACTCCTGAAAAAAGGCAGAGTGACAGCGGCTATAGACAGACAGGGAGAACAGACAGAGCTGGAAACTCAGGTAAACTCCCACTGCAACGTTACAGTAAAAGTTTTATTAGCTGCAGGTTGAACTAATCCATGCTCGTTACACGATCACGGTACATTTACTGCATTTAGCCAAATTGCTACATCGTTAGCTCGCTATCTGTGTATCTTTCACCGGAGGCTCAGCAATGTCAACACAGCTACATATATTGGAAGATAATGAAACGGGTGGTGAGCTGGACTGAATATTATAAGATTGTGTCACACTTTGTAACAGTTAGACCACAGTAAGTAACTTTACTGTAACTAGTGATAGTGGATGGCTCTTCCGCTGTGTTGTTGTGACCGTTTTGTTGCAGTGTTGTATATTATGTGGGTCACGTTAGTTACAGCAACTGAGAGGTGGAGAAGCTGTGTACCTGAGTATCGGTAAAACCACAATAAACCTACATGGAACGTTACGAAGCAGCTACTGTAGCGTTAGCTGGCTGCTCCTGGCTACGTTACTATAGGCTAACGTTAGTAAACAAATCGCTCCACATTTTCTTTTTACGTTACATCCATTCTTGTAGGCTAAATCAACAGTGGTGCACAGGATAGTAACACGGGTTAGTTGGTGAACTAATATGAAAAGCTAACGTTCTCTAACTTTGCACCGGATAACATTAGCATTGGCGCTAGCCGGCGAGATAACATGACTTTCTCTGTGTTTCTCCAGCTTTACTAATGCTCACTTTGTTCTTACTCGACATCATCTGAACCTGTTTGTTCTGATGGGCTTCAGCACAAAAACCTTTATTGTTGTTTTGTATCTTTACGTGGAGCCTGTGTTTTGCTGTGAGACGGTTGTTTTATGGTGTTAGTGGACTGCATGTCGTTAGCTGGCGTGTTGTCGCTGTAGTCTGAGAGGCTCGGAAGCGCGTACAGGGCTGAATCTGACCAGGAGTCGCCATATTAAAAGCAGAATAGTGGCTGATGCAAGCAACGGAGAAAACAGGCGTGTGCTTCATTTACAAGTGAGATTTGAGCCCATTAACAATAAGGCAATGAAAATTTGATTCATATCATTGAAAAACATACATATAGCCAAAATATGCCCCCGCCCCCATTAGTTGTTGACAACAACTTGAAAATGAGTAAGGAACAGGAGAAAACCACTGAAACCGTGGATTTAGTTGCAAAAAGAAAGCAACCTTTGTAAACCCCTCGGGTGTCTGGTGTATAGCTGCTCTTTTATTTTAATTCAAATTTTGTTTGGAAAATATTTACTACATTAAAACTCAAGAAAGGATGGTTTGCACTTAAAAAAAAGTATTCAGACTAAAAAGAAATATTTCAGCTTAATTTAATTTTCAACCCAATAATTCTAGGATGATTAATTCTTTTCAAATACAGCTATTGAAGTGATCTGGTGAAAATTCCTGTATTTTTTTCTTATATAGCAGAAGAGAAAAATATTGCAATGTCAGTTTTTTCCAATGCAGCTCTACAACTAACATTTTAAACTAACAGTGTTTCTGTCAGAATGACACACGGCACACGGGGTGTCCTCACTTTTGTTTCCAGCGGTTTAGACATTAATGGCTGTGTGATGTGTTTCTTTGAGGGGACAGCAAATTTACACTGTTACATAAGCTGCACACTCACTACTTTACATTGTAGAAAAGTGTCATTTCTTCAGTGTCGTCACATGAAAAGATATAATCAAATAATTACATAAATGTGAGGGGTGTACTCACTTTTGTTTTACATTAGTTTAGACATTAATGTCTGAGTCAGGGCTTGACAATAACAGTGGCCCGATGCAATATGCAGCGTGCTAGCCTCGAAAACTTTAACTTAGCTCTCCTTATTAGCTAGGCTCCTTACATGCTTGCTTTTTTAAGCTGGGTCTCCGACACTGACAGCGTTGTGTTGGATAGATTTGTGCAGCTGTGTTCATGAGGGAGAGGGACGGGTGAGCGAGAGAGAAAGAGGGACGAGCGAGAGGAAGTGCTGCGCGAATGTGCTACAGCGCTCTGCAATCAAATATGATTTTAAATAGGCCTAGTAGAAGAAAATCGAAAAAATCGATCTGTGGCGGGCAGCGTTGATATTGTGGCGGGCAGCCACAGAGAGAGGGAGAGTGTGAGTGACTGAGAGAAGATGCTGGGAATATATATGCGTTGCAAGCAGCTCTGCAATTAAATAGGCCTATTAAAAATAAAAAACAGCAATGTCCACAGAAAGGAGTTCCAAGTCAGGACGTCATGGAGCCACAGGTACATCCGCCGATTGGACCGAAGTGGCCCCGCACAGGCCTCTCTTGCAACCATGGACCACCACCTGGGCCCAGGTCGACTGGTGCTTCGGTGTTGAGCAGGAGGCCACATCCATAAAGCCGGTCAGGAGGGAGTCTTTCTTAAGGTCAGCAATCTCTGGCTTTCCTATCTGAAGTAGTACGTCCTCACGGGGCAGAGTTAGCAAAGTTGTTTGGGCTAGCTTAGCCACTGGAGGGGTGCGGTAGTTATCTGTGATGTCGTGGCAGCCGGTAGAGTCGACTGCCTTAAGATTCACATAGGCGCCAAGTTAAGTCTACGTGTATACTAATTATCTGTGTATTACAGCAAACAGACGGCGTATTGCAGACTCTGCCAATATGCAGGGATGCAGGGCGAAAGAAATGAACCTGTATTAAGAAAATAAACCGGCTCAGCTCAACATTCGCTGTATTTGTTTGATGGCTCAAATGCTCTGCTTCTTTTGGATTTTCACCATCGCCCGCCTCTGGCAGCACAAACTTCATAGAGCTAGCCTCTCATTTTGGTCTCAAAGTGCACCACAGTAATGCAGTGAAGGTGTGAATATTCCAGTTTACTCCTGTGGCATCAACATCACTACTGCTCAGCAGTTTACAGTGAGAATAACAAGTAAAGTGTACAAGCCTGCTGTGTGTGTAACACATTGTTGTGACAACAATTGGGGGGGTTATTTAAGTGAAAAGTGGGACATAGACTGCATTTTTTATATTTTGAATGGTCACCTGCAGTAAGAATTTTCTGTTTCCCTTTATATAATTAAAGACGTTTCAACTGATCAACTGATGCAGAAATGTTTGCAGAAGAATTCACCAGAATGCAGGAAATTAAGTGTTGAGCATTTTCTTTTCAAATATAAATGTTATGATGTGAATCTTTCCCAGCAGTTTCCAGTGAGAATAAGCAGTAAAGTGCACAAACCTGCTCTGTGTAACCGGACTTCAGGCTTGAAAACAGCGTCCAGTAGTTTGCGTTGTCCACAAAGTTCCTCCTCGTACTCTGCTATCGTTCTTTCAAACAGCTCAAATATCTCTTCAGCAGCCGCACTTAGTCGCTGCTGGACAAAAGCTCTCAGCGTTTGGACTTTAGACATGTTTACAGCAGCTTTTCCTCCAGACACACTCCGTTACAGACACGCAGCTCACTCTGATAAAATACACACTGTGAGGCCGAGCTCCGGCTCCGGCTACTTCCTGCTAACAAGCTAACTTCCTTTAGCATTCTTGGCTAACAGGAGATGAGTCTGAGGTGAAACATCCCGAAAGTTTAAACAGAGTCCACTTAAACACGTTGATCCTCACATGCAGGCTCTGCTGCTGAACTCTGATAGTTTCTTATGGCTCAACTCACGCGCTACGTAGCGCTAAAATGTAGCATTTTAGCCACAGGAAGGACATTTACTTCCGGTACCACTTCTGAACCTTTTTTCAAAATAAAAGCGACCAACTCCCCATATGGCATTGTTAAGTATTCTGGTAGAAAAACCTTTACTGAAGTAAATATAGAAATACCACAAAGTAAAGTAAACAGTACAAAAGCAACATGTATTTACTATATTATATATTTATTTATTATGTTTATTGTGCTCTGCAAATAGTTGTATTATTTTCCTCTGTTCTTTTTATTATTCTTTTATAACTTGCATTGTTTATTCCATATTTATATATTTCTAGACTTATTTATGTCAACTGTATGTTTGTCTACGTGTAGCACCTTATCGCCAAAGCAAATTCCTCATAGGTGTAAAACACTACTTGGCAATAAAGCTTCTTCTGATTATGAATCTTCTGATTATTATTGTACTTCTCAATGTCTTGTATTTCAGTAGTGGGTAAAGTACTTAACAACGTTGAACATTTGTAATATACATTTTATTGCAGTTGCGGTTTCAATTGGCTTACCTTTAAAGTGGTGGATTGTCTGATTAATGAAATGTTTGTTTAGCAGCCCGCCCCCATGTTTGAAATTGTACCAAGCCTAACGGTGTCATCTCAGTCTCACCAACTTCTTCCTGGATCCGCTTCGATCTTTTACAATTAATGCCACATATAATGTATATTATTTATAGATCAATAACTACTTGGTTTCCAAATGATACACAAAAATTTTCAAGTATTAAAACATTTTTATTACTAACTTCCAATGGATTACACATCATAATTTTATAATTAATGTATTAATGTTAATGTTATTAATGTTAATGTTAATTAATGTATTATGTATGTATTTACACCTGTTATTAAGATTTTCCTTAAAACAAATGAGAAAATATGTTTAAGCCGTGAGAAAATAACCATGAAGCTGCTAAAGAGCAGCCATACATTTGAACCAAAAATGTGTTCGGGGGAGAGAAACAAATCACTTTACATTGATCTCTGCAGTCTGAGTAAGATAAATCAAACAAAACTCCCTTCATGTTTCCACAGACTGGGTTTCCTTGCTGAGCAGTATGTCTCGCAGTCACTTGGACATTTGTTGCTGCAACAAAACAACTCCAATGAACATACTTGAGTCCCGGATGAAGACACCCAGCTGAAGAATGATTACAGCAGCCAACAACTCTCTCAACATCCACATGGCATCTGATTACTGTCCGGAAAAGGCTAGAAAATCCAAAACCTCTGATTTAAAAGCAACTAAATACAACAAATACAACACATCAGCGGTCCAACTGTGTAAAATCAAAGTCAAAGACAGTCCGAGCAGTTTAAGAATCAACTGTTCGTGTTTTACACATAATGAGAGCAAAGACCAGGAGAGTCCATTCAAATAGAAATAAACTGTGATGTCTGTAGGTAACTAAAGTCATTTCATTTATATATCACATTTTAAAACAACACGTTGACCATCAGGATATTAAGCGGCTGTCCGGTCTGAGCAGGCCAAGCTGGGAGGCCGCTGTGGCGTCCAAACAGGCCGGTGTCCTCCTGAGAGGTAAATTGCATTTGCGATATTATCGCGATGTAATAAAACGAGATTTTCTAATCGCCAAGGCTGCGATTACACTCTGGTCACATGACACCCAAGAGTAAACCAGTCTGCAGACAAAGCATCAAATTTGCACGTTATGCTGTACCTTGAATTCTTGTTGTACAATGTCCTTAAGCTTGACAGAAGCTGACAGAAGCTGACACTACATAAACTTTAGTGTCACACAGGGAATGAAAGTAGCAGCCGCTAACGAACGCGGGTAACTTGGTGGTGGTGGGTGAAATCATCGTGCCATCCGTTGCTTTGATGGACAGGAAAAATGCACACCAGAAAGACACATGTAGTAAGGTAAGCGTATTGTGGCAATCGGCGCCAGCGTCACACACACAGCCACCAGTTAGCTCAGGAAATATCTGTGAAACAGCGTTTCAAACCAAACGGCCCAGTCTGTCCTGAGTTACAGCCTGGTTACAGCCAGTGCACTGCTCACCAGCATCGAAGGCTGCGGAGGAACTCTGGTGTTGAGAGGCGTCACTTGGTTTTATTTTCATTGGCGAACTTTTGAATTGAACCTCAAACTGAGTATTTTTTGTTTGCTTACTGGGATACAGAAAGATGGACTCCTGGGAGATTTGAGCTAAGATATGGACGCTTTCATTGGTGGTTGAACTGTGTGTTTTGTATTGATCGCTTCCTGTATAGCACACTGTGGTGAGTTAGTTTTTCTTGTGGTCTGTAGGTCGACCTGATGATATATCATATTTAATACCATGACTTGACTCAAATTATCTTTCTCATATTATTATAATTTGATACTTCTTCTCCACCATTGCTCATAATAATAATAATAATAATTCATGCACCTAATTTCATCCTAACACAGGCCTGACTCACAAGAAAGAACAGTGGATGTTTAATCTAGCTAATATTGTGTTGGTCAGACTATACACTGATTTACTGCTTGTCCGTTTTGAATAATACAGAAGGGAAAGAGCTTAAAAATTAATTGATTAGATTTTTTTCCAAAATCATTCAGCCCTACTTTGGAGGATACTGGGAAACTGAGTTCAATGACTAGCATGACAATTAAGATCCTATATGACCTCTTCACCTTTGTGAGGTTCCTGTGATCCCAAAACATTTATAACGAACGCTGCTACTAAAAGGTTTCTCCCCTCTGTGGATTCTCATGTGTTTGAACATATAGCTTTTGTCACGGAATCTTTTTTTACAAACTGAGCAGCTGAAGGGTTTTTCTCCTGTGTGAACTCTTATATGTAAGGTCAAAGTTGACCTCTGTGCAAATCTTCTACCACAGAGAGAACAGCTGAAGGGTTTCTCACCTGTGTGGACAGTTGAGTGTCGTCTCACATCTGACTTTTGTGTGAATCTGTTACCACAGACAGAACAACTGAACGGTTTCTCCCCTGTGTGGGTTCTCATGTGTTTGGATAAACTGCTTCTGTTTTTGAAATTTCTTTTACAAACTGAGCAGCAGAAAGGTTTTTCTCCTGTATGACCTGTTAAGTGTTTGGTTAAAACTGATCCTTTACCACAGACAGAACTAAATGGCTCCTCTCCGGTTTTTTGAAGTCCACTGTGCGCCTGCAGACATCCCTCGTGGCCAAAGCTTGTAGCACATTCAGAGGAGCTGCTTGATGTTTTTCCAGTACAAAATTCCTGATCACTAACAGGTACTTCACTGTTTTGCAGAGGGTTTGAACCTGACTCAGGTTCTCTGGTCTCCTCCCAATCACTCTCATCAGTTTCAGTTTCAGATGAGTGTGACATCTTGTCATGAGTAGCCGGTTGTAAATGTCCATCTGCATCAGAGTTCCTGGCTGGTTCTGGTCCTCCACAGTCCTCTCCATCAGCTTCTGTTTCCATCTGTTCAGTTAGTCTTTGATGAAGCTGTGAGGACTGAGGTTTCTCTTCATCTAACTTACTCTTCACAGGGACAGGAGTGAATGTGAATTTGATGAAATTAGCCTCCCCCAGACGTTGAAGCTGCTCCCCTCCCTCCTGACCGATCAAGCGTTCCTCCTGTTCCTTTTTAATGTGTTGGGGCTCTGGCGGGTCCTCCTGGTCCAGACTGGAGCTCCACTCTTCTTTAATGTGTTGGGGCTCTGATGGGTCCTCCTGGTCCAGACTGGAGCTCCACTCTTCTTTAATGTGTGGGGGCTCTGGTGGGTCCTGCTGGTCTAGCCGGGGTCTGCACTCCTGCTGCTCAGGGGGAACCTCTTCTTTACTCACCAATAGCAGCTGGACATCTGTGGAGAATAATGAAATACATACACACATTTTAGAAAATTCCAACTTCCTGCGAACATTTAAACCACTGACACAACTACAGGCCTAATATTATGAATGGGTTGTTCTAATTCGTATAGGCTTCGCCCTCTAAGGCTATTGCTATTGGGTTTACCCCCTCCGCATACCTGCGCAGCACTGAGAATTTTAGTCTACGCACCTCTCCTACCTCCGCACTTTGTATATATAAATACATACACACACACACACACACACGCACAACGGTGAGACCCAGCCTTCGGTTCCCTATTTTCTTCAGCACTGAGCTTGAAGTCTAAAGAGGTAGAAGTAAGAAGAAGAATGTACCTGCAGAAGCGATGTCTTCCTACCTGCCTGCTAGAGCGGGGCGAGGCCACCACCATCCGGCTATGTGAAATTTGTGAGACGGGCTTCATGCTGCCGGGGGACCTCCATCCCCGATGTGAGGCTTGCCTTGGTCCGGCGAATGCTGGACGAACGCTCACCCCCGACTCACGCTGCCCGTACTGTGCTCTCCTCCCCCCCGAGGAGCGTCAACACCGGGCGGATAACTTTGCCGTCTTCGACGAGAAAGTGTGGCACACACTCGCTGGACGAAGCGATCGGGAGGATGTTGCCAGAGGAGCAGGAACTGGACGACTCCACCCTCTCCTTCCACGGGTCCCCCAGCAGCTCCCCGCTTTCCCCGTTCCAACCTTCCATCGACCCTGGCCTTTCCTGGACGATTCCAGCCTCGAGGGGGCTCTCTCCGGTGAGATCTCTGGCGATGTTTCCATCCCGCTGTCCGCCACCACCCCTCTGCCATCCATTGGCGGCTTCGTCAGAGAGCTCCCCACCATCATACAGTGGGCCTTGGTGGACTCTACTTCCAAGATGGCACCGCAGACGGCTGCCTCAGGTTTACGCTCCGTAGTGCTTTTTGTGTTTTTGTTAATTAACGCTGTCCTCCGCACATCGGCCTCTCCAACTGCTATGCAGCCCTGTCTAACGACATTCCGGTCCATCCAGTGGATGCACCTGCGACTTTGAGTCTCCCTGATATGGATCTCTTTCGGTGGACAGTGCCTGCCGACACTATTGCATCTCCTTCACCGGCTGCATCTCCTTCACCGGCTGCATCTCCTTCACCGGCTGCATCTCCTTCACCGGCTACATCTCCTTCACCGGCTACATCTCCTTCACCGGCTGCATCTCCTTCACCGGCTACATCTCCTTCACTGGCTACATCTCCTGCACGGCCCGGTCATAAAACCTCCGCTTCCCGACGTAGGATCCTGAAGGAGGCTGTGCTCAGACGCTCCGGAGGCCGTTTCTACCCTCCACCGTCGGGTAGCCCTTCTGTCAGGTCTGTTACTGCTACTCCAACACAACACTCGGCAGCTCACACACTCCATCCTCAGTCCGCACGCAGTGTTGAAGCAGATTCTGCTCAGTCCTGCTCTGGAACCCCACAACCGGCATCTCCTCGTCCTCTTTTCTTCCCAACCACACTAATAATTGGTGACTCCATAACCAGAAACATCCGTTTCTTTAACGCTACCACTCACTGCTTCCCCGGTGCCACCACGGCTGTCATTTAAAAAAAACTCCAGGACCTGATGCCGTCGCTCCCGTCCTCCATCACAAGAGTGATAGTCCATGTGGGAACAAATGACACAGCTCTTCGGCAGTCTGAGCTGACAAAATCAGATTTTAACCGTCTTCTTAACTTTTTAAAGCAGTGTGGAAAGTCCGTTTTTATCTCTGGTCCCATTCCCACAGTCGGTCGCGGTGCTGGCCGCTTCAGTAGACTCCTTGGCCTCCACGACTGACTCCAGTCCGCCTACAGGGCTCACCATGTGTGTTATGTGGATAATTTTAATATTTTCTGGCAAAGAATGTCTCTTTTTAAGACAGATGGACTTCACCCAAACAAACGGGGCTCAGAAATGTTAGCTGCTCACATACAGCATGTGGTGCGGTCCACACATGACTTACGTGAATGACTCATCATTCATGCAGCACACCTGGACACACCACCGCTCACTGAACAGATCTCTACCTCACTGCCACAAACAACTGTCTCCACCTGCTGGCATGTAAAGCCGTCTGCTCCCAGCGCTGTTCCAAAGACTTCTATTCCTGTCATCATCACGCATAGACCAGTAAACCGAAATGTGCACATCCCACACAGAAATCATAGGAATCTCTTAAGGATTAGGACAACTGCACCAACTCCAGCACCCAGAACAAACTCATTTAAAATGTCTCTCTTCAATGTGAGATCACTTTCAAATACGATTTTTATCTTACATGATTTTATCTTGTCTGCAAATCTAGATTTTATGTTTTTAACTGAATCCAGACTCCTGGTTTTTACTCTGGGTGTCAGCATTTCCTCTGTGGAATTAGTGGACATGACCATATCTGACCACAGATGTATTGTTTTTAGCTGCGATTCGCCTGTTACTCATGCCGCCTCACCAAGCTCCGTGTGTTCTCGCATCTTTAATGAACAAAGTGTTTCAAAGTTTTGCGCAGTCTTTCAGAGCCAAAGCCAACACCTGTCTGATTCCAACACCAACAATCTGGTCGATCACTTCAATCATATCTGCTTGTCGTCACTAAATATTACTGCTCCTCTAAAGGTTAGGCCTACGTCTAAAGCTAGTAAGCAACCCTGGATAAATGACAGCATTCACAGCCTAAAAAGGGAATGCAGGAAAGCAGAGCGCAGATGGAAAAAATCCAGTCTCCAAGTCCATTACCTCAGTCTGAAGGATTTATTAATTAACTACAATAACATGGTTAAGGATGCGAGAACACACTATTTTTCTGAACTCATTACTACACATAAACACAATCCCAGGTTTCTGTTTAAGACTGTGGATCAGCTGGTAAACCCAACCCCTCCTTGTGCCTCAGCTGGAAGTAATGATGACTGTGAATTGTTTTTATCTTATTTTACCAATAAGGTGGTGTCAATCAGAGCCTCTATTACCCCCGTGGACTCTTACTCAGAGGTTCCTCACCAGCAACAATTGAGTTTAAATTTTTCAAAACTGCCTTTTATTGCAAAGATTCTAGAAAGAATTGTGTCCAAACAGCTGCTCACTGTGCTGGAAAATAACAAATTATTTGAAAAGTTTCAGTCTGGTTTTAGGAAGTACCACAGCACTGAGACTGACCTGCTTAAAGTCACCAATGACCTTTTAATGTCTGCTGATGAAGGTATGTGCTCAGTCCTGGTACTCCTGGACCTTAGCGCTGCTTTTGACACCATTGATCACAACATCATGTTAGACAGACTGAGGTACTGGGTGGGGATATCCGGTACTGCCCTAGAATGGTTTTCATCCTACCTGTCAAATAGGAAGTTTTGTGTGTCTGTAAACAACTATGTCTCTTCATTCTGTCCAGTTAAATATGGTGTGCCTCAGGGGTCAGTCTCAGGACCCGTTTTGTTTTCCTTGTATCTGCTTCCCTTTGGACATATTATCCATAAACATGGCATTTCTTTTCATATTTATGCTGATGACACACAAATATACTTGCCCGTCAGATCCACAGACCCTGGAATGCTGAGTTCACTTAACAACTGCCTTTGTGAAGTTAAAAAATGGATGTCAAATAATTTCCTCCAGCTGAACTCAGACAAAACAGAAATCCTGGTCATCGGGTCCCAGCAGATGGCAAATCAAATACTGTCATCTGCTGGTTCCCTAGTAAATCACATTAAGCCTGTGGCAAAGTTTGATAGGTTTGATAGTAATTTAAATTTCGAGCAGCACACTACAAAGTTTGTTCAATCATGTTTTTATCAACTTAGAAATACAGCAAAAATTCGATCTTTGTTAACTTTTAAGGACACAGAGACCATTTTACATGACTTCATCTCATCACGCCTGGATTATTGCAACAGCCTTTTCACCTGTTTAACCCAAAAATCTATTGATCGACTCCAGACTGTCCAGAACTCAGCTGCCAGGCTTTTAACCAGAACAAAGAAATATGACCACATTACTCCTATTTTAGCTTCATTACACTGGCTCCCAGTATGTTTTAGAATTGACTTTAAAATTCTATTGATCACTTTTAAAGCTCTTCATGGCCTCTCGCCTTGTTATATTTCTGACCTTTTAGTCCCATACGCACCAGCACGTACCTTGAGATCCTCGGGCAGAGGTCTGCTGTCTGTTCCAGAGTCTCGACTGAAAACTAAAGGGGACAGAGCGTTTGCTGTCAGGGCCCCGAGGCTCTGGAACAGCCTGCCCGAGGAAATCAGGTCGGCTGAGTCAGTGAACTCTTTTAAGTCCCTTCTTAAAACATACTTTTATAGGAGAGCCTTTCCCAATGTTATTTGACTTTATTTTATCCCTTTTATTTTATTTTACATTTATCTTAAACGTGTATTTTAGTCTTTTTAATGTTTTCATGCTTTTATCTTGTATTGTTTTTGTATTATTGTCTCTTGGGTATTATTGTCTTTACACTTGTTAAAGCACTTTGTAACTTGTTTTTGAAAAGTGCTCTACAAATAAAGATTATTATTATTATAATATAGGTGAACATATATGCACGTATATATGTACACATATTATAGGAAAACGGCCAATTTTACATATGTCAATATATTAAAAACCTATATCAAAACATATATGTTTATATAGATTCTTTCCATGTGGGCAGAGTCAGGAAACGGTCAGGAAACATCAATGCAGATCCATCTCACTCCGGACACAACCTGTTCCAGCTCCTCCCCTCTGGTAGGCGCTACAGAGCACTGTACGCCAAAACCAACAGACTCAGGAACAGTTTCTTCCCACAAGCCATCACTCTGATGAACAGCTGACTCTGACTCACAGTGTCAGGAACTATTCCTGTGCAATAACCCAGTAACTCTAATCAGCACCTGTTTACTGGCAAACACTTGTTTATTTATTCACCAGTCTCCATTTCTGTGCTGTTCATACTGTCATATTGTATATACTGTATACCAATACACCTACCTCAGGTCATAAGATCACAGGTCTTATTTATTTTTTCCAGCATCCTTTGCACTATGATCCATCACACTGTGTACATGTGTACCTGTATATCACATCCACCTTCAACACGTACATAATGAGAATAGTTTACTCTTGCATCATTTGCACTCTGATTACTGCACTGAGTCAAATTCCTCGTGTGTGTACACATACCTGGCAATAAAACTGATTCTGATAACCACCATTAGTGTGACGTAGTGTCCTATAGTATGACACACATAAACACACATTTTTGGTTCTTTTATCTCAAAATATCTTTAATAAAAACAATATTTCATCAGGGGAGGTATAGTCATCACTCATCATAAATTTGTATAACTTTTCAACAGTTTTGAAAGGATGACACCAAAGTCTTTTATACAAACAGTCCAAGTCCAATTCATGGGGAAATATAGTGTTATTCAAAATTTCATTTCCAATAAATAACAGTATATGAAAAAAGTGTCTTACAATTAAGATGAATCTCTTTCATGTTTGTTTGTATATCGCTAAAGACTTTTAAAACATTTTTTTATGTCACACAACAGGACACATTTACAGTGTAGTTCAGCAAAAATGTAAAAAAAAAAAAAAACAACAAAGAGGGAAAGAATGAATAAAATTGGTGACGCCATATATTTAAAAAAAGACGCAACGTAAATATGATTGTTTTCTTCAATAATGGTGTTTTACAAGAAAATATTTTTTACTGCCTATTTGTCAACTACCCAGATAAAGAATATTATATACTGTAAGTACATGTTGCTGATAATACTCACATACTTTTACTGCAGTAAAGGCAGTTTCCAGTGAGAATAAGCAGTAAAGTGCACAAACCTGCTCTGTGTAACCGGACTTCAGGCTTGAAAACAGCGTCCAGTAGTTTGCGTTGTCCACAAAGTTCCTCCTCGTACTCTGCTATCGTTCTTTCAAACAGCTCAAATATCTCTTCAGCAGCCGCACTTAGTCGCTGCTGGACAAAAGCTCTCAGCGTTTGGACTTTAGACATGTTTACAGCAGCTTTTCCTCCAGACACACTCCGTTACAGACACGCAGCTCACTCTGATAAAATACACACTGTGAGGCCGAGCTCCGGCTCCGGCTACTTCCTGCTAACAAGCTAACTTCCTTTAGCATTCTTGGCTAACAGGAGATGAGTCTGAGGTGAAACATCCCGAAAGTTTAAACAGAGTCCACTTAAACACGTTTATCCTCACATGCAGGCTCTGCTGCTGAACTCCGGCTGCATCTCACGGTGACAGAAAGGAAAATGTTAGCATGTTAGCCACAGGAAGTACCACCTAAAATGCTTCCGGTACCACTTCTGAACTTTATTTCAAAATAAAAGCGTCCCCCAACCCCATATCTTTACTGAATCTAGAAATACCACAAAATAAAGTAAAAGTAAACAGTACAAAAGCATAATTTCAGAAAAATGTATTTATTGTTGTACTTATTAATGAACTTATTATGTAATGTTTTTAAATTGTGGCTAAAGTACTGGAGTAAATATAAACATAGAACATTTATAATCTATATTACTTCATTTAGCTGAATTACAATTGCTACAGTGGACACAAAAAGTCTACACACACCTGTTAAAATGCCAGGTTCTTATGATAAATAAGATCATGTCAGAACTTTTTTCCACCTTTAATGTGACCTATAATGTGAACAATTCAATGGAATAACAAACTGAAATCTTCGAGGGAAAAATTAAAATTAACCTGGTTGC